CAACAAAGGCCTTTTATTTGGAGACTCAGCACACTTTTCAAACTGCCTAGTCACTTTGTGGGGAATATGGCATCATAAGATTACAGTATTTTAGCAGTGTTGCACAAAGAATAACCTGAAAGGGTGACAGAAAATTGCCAGTGTATCAGCAATTGAGCAAAGAACAAAATCTTTGATGTGCAAATAATCAGTCACCTGGTAGCTGGTGTAATCTACCATCATTACCATGATTTCTGCTAAACTGGAGGGATCAAAATATACATTGCTGTGTAAAATAACCAGTCTGAATTGAGGTAACACATTACTGAGTGCCATTCAAAAATCAATTATTAGAATAAAGTCCTTACTTGCATAGCATGGTGACTTTTGCAGACTTGAAGATTCAAACAGACATGAAAAGAAATGCTGGGGGAAAAGCACAGTGAGGTGCCATGCAGTGCTTTGAAACAGCTTTGGAATGTAGGCCACTCAACCAAACTACAAGAAACCACTGAGCCCCTTCCTGTCAGGACATGAGAAAGCTGTAAATTGTGGTAAAAGTTATTGCTTTAGTCACTGTAATCACAAATTGAGGGGAAAGAAAGCTCCAGAAAGAGATATCCATGCCTGTCCTCAGAGGGGAAGTGGAAATGCAGACATCACGGGTGGATCCCCAGGCTGGGTCAGGGCACAGCAGCAGCTGCTGCCAGGTGCGGGCAGTGCCCTGGAGAGGGCAGCTCAGGGCCCACACCCCAGGGCTGGGCAGTGCCAGGGGTGAGGGAGGCTCTGGTGCCAGCTGTGCCACGGCTCTGGGACAGGAGGCTGGAGCTGGCACTGTGTCCCACCAGGGGCAGAGGAGCATTCCCAGAGGGTGACAGCGCCCAGCCCCAGCGCGGATCAGCTTCCCTCCCCTGGAGGCGAGTGACAGTGTCAGGAGGTGTTCCAGCAGGAGCACGGGCTCACATGCCTGGGATTTGTGGCAAGCTGGGAAGGCTCTCCTCAGCAGCAACAAGAAAACACAGCTCTGCCCACGTGGAGTTCCACACTGCGGATGGAGCTGTCAAAATACTTCCCACAGCTGAGACCTGGAGCACAGAGAAACTCTGCTGCTGTGGGAGCATTACTGGAACAAACAGTGTGCTCTGTTCTGCCCTTGCCGTGATTACAAACATCAAACATCTTGCTTTTCTTTTCCTTGCACAGATTTTCCAAACTGCAGATGTTGAACCAGCAGATAACTCCTCAGCTGGAAATCTGGGAGCTTTGTTGGCATCTGGTTGCAGCTTCACAAGGATAAGTTTGTTCATGGAGGCTGAGCAGGAGGTGAATGTGGAAGGACAGCCGGGTCACTCTGGGAGTGATGCTTTTCATCAGCCCAGAACTGATGGAACAGAGGGTGTTCTGTCTCTGGGGCCAGAGGATTTATGATTGCTAGGTTTGGAGCAGGGATCAGGGCTAGTCAGGCAAAATTTCAGCCCCAGGATTTAGCTACAGCCTGTGCTGCTCTGCCTTGGGTGCCATCTACATTAATTCAAAACCTGTTTTTTTTTCCTGCATGACACAGATTGCAGGAGCAGATCCCCTTGGCTTTTCAGTCAGTGTGTGTCCAAACAGTGTCTCCAAATTTTTGGGTGATCAGCTCAAAATATTCCAAGCCTCATTCCAGTGATTCATTTTGTGGTTATTCAACATGAAATGCCCTCAGGTGTCAGAGTTCCAGAGGGGTTAAATACAACTCAAATGATTCAGTAGCTCTAAAACACTATTACAAAACTAGGAAGGAAGGATGATAGAAAGATCATATTAAACCTAGAGAAATTCAGCAAGACATTTCTGAGCTAACTACCGATCATCCCTTCCAATAAAGAAGGATCTTTTAGACCAAGTTCAACCAAGTGTATTACCTGATTTCACAGGGAATTTGTCACAAGGTGGAAAAAAAATGGGGAGCATTTAGAGGTTAAGCTGATTTCCAGTGTGTCTGTTAAGATTTTCTTTCCCCTGATTGTTAAGAGCACTTGAGCACTGTACAGCAGTGTCCTAATTCACTTAACTCCATTTTCTCACAGCATAGAAATTAACCCAAACATAAGTTTAAATATTCCAATAGTAACATATTTACCATGATTATCAGCCACTCACTGTTTCATTGGCTTCTGTGTTACTTCTGTGTCCGACCAGTTTGATTCCCAGTGTCTCCAGTTCTGTGCCCTGGTTTCCAGCCATACATCCCTCTATTCTTTGCATGACTGCATTTTTTTCACTAGTTCTGACTGTTCTGAAGCTTCAGGTGCCTTCAGTCCCCTCATTTTAGCAACTGAAGAATTGTTTTGGACATGATGCCAGAGAACAGTCAAAAAATATTTGAATTCCCTGTCATTAAGGTAGTCAGGTCTAATATAATATGGGATTTTCTTATGGGAAAAGTAAGCATAGCTGGCGAAATGAATAGAAGTAAAATTTAATTTGATTTCTTGTCATCTCCATAGATCATATTTTCCTTTGCTCTTGCTGCCTCACTCCCACCTATTCTCATAATCTGCAAATTACTTTAGTCTGAGATATTTCCTGTGTGTTAACTGCATTTCATTGGCTGCCAATTCAGTTTTCTGTTTCTGTGCTTGCATTTGTATTTAGGAAACACGATGAAAATTAATATCATAATTATACCATTCAAGCAAATCATATGAATTAAATCTGTGTCTAGCCAGCCAAAAATATCTGTGGTTGTCATCGGAGTGTGCATTTTTCCCTTCTCCAGCAGCATCATCAGACAGTGCTGTGGTTTAAGGCCAGCCAGCAGTTGAGAGCCAGAGTGCCCCATCCCTCTGGTAACCCTGTCCCAGATGGAACCTGGGCAGACAGAGGGAAAAACTGCTCCCTGTGGTACTCCATGGGCAAGGACTGCATAAAGGAAGAACAACACCCAAACTCTTTACCTTTTTAAGCACCATCTTTTACCTTTCTCCTAAAATATTTATTCTGATTTCCTCAAAGCTGTTGCAGAACTGTGCCGCTGTTCATCCTGAACAAACTTCTAACCAAAGACACACCTTCTTTTGTACTTGCCCAGCTGCAATGTCCTTTTACCTGCACCCGAGTGTTTGTGTGTTCCAGCCCCACAGGAAGGCAGCTCCTGCTCCCTCAGAAGGTCTCTGTGGTGCTGTGGTTTCTGCACTGCTGTTTCCTGCGCTAGGCTGGCCCCAGAGTTCTCTCAGTTCTGCCCCAGAGCCTCCCTGGGGCTCCCAGGGCAGCCCGGGATCTCCCTGGCAGGATCCACACCCTCACCCACCGTGCAGGAGGCATTTGGAGCCGGCTGGCTGTGCAACAGAAGGAGCTGCAAGGAAATTAATGGAGCACTGCTGGACTCTCCCCAGAGCGGCTGTTTGTTTTCAAACAGATCCCTGCTTAACCCACCCAAGCCATTAGTCACTCTCAGCTCCAGTGTCAGGCTTTCTCATGGCCTGGGCAACTGCTTTGAGAAGTCTCACATCATTTCCTTTCAGATTTGGCCCTAAAGTACAGCCAGGGAGCTTGAGAGATCAGCTGCTTGTCCCACACACCTTTGTAATTGCAGAAACTCTGGACTTTGTGCTCCATTCAGTTCTATGAGACAACGGAGCTGTTTTACTGCAGAATATCAATTAAAAGCAACCAGGTGAAATTGGAATTATTGCTTGTGCTGGGATCTGAGCAGATTTCTGTCCAGGCTATTTTCACATTCCCATTTAGTCTGGACTCTGATTTAATTGCTGAGGCACAGAGCCCTTTTATTTCACAGGGGCCTGCTTGCATTTTTTAAAGTCTAAAGTCTATGATGAGTTCAGACAAATCATAACAAACCCTTCTTCCAAGGAAGCCAACAACAGCTTCATTGAATTCGATGCCACTCTAATTACATTATTAAGATAATGTCAGTTTATTTGTAGGACAGGTGACTGTTAAAAGCAATGTCCATGTGGTGGAGGTTGGGATTTTTCCTTTGTCAGTTGCACAACTGAAAAACAAAGTACAAGTGTCAACTTTGTGACTCTGCATGTTAAAACCTGTGTCTGTCACTTCTGGAATAATAATTGGAGAAGAATTAAAATTTCTAGATAAGAAAGCTCCTCTGTGTCTACAGAAACCCACTAGAGGAAGCTGTGACATTTACACAGCTGGAAATGAAAAGATGGCATTGATACTTCCATAGAAGCAACCACCACCCCTCAGAATGGAAATAATCAAAACCAGCTACTACAGAGTGTGCCACTGCAGATATTTCATGCTGAATACTCATGCTGCACACAACTTTTTGTGCCACTCCAAGACCTTTTGAAGTTACTCACATTCTGCCACTAGCTTCAAAGGGAAACAAGATTTGCCTTGCAAAACAATCAAGAACTGCAGCTATTTACAGGCAAATTAATTAATGGCAGCTTTGGCTGCAAGGGCTACAGGATTTAGCAAGATGATTTAACTGTGTCATGATGTGTTCTGGAAAGGGCCAAATTCACACACTTCAAATACAAAGGATAATTAACACCCAACATATCAGAATTACAGGATCACAGCATGGGTTGGGTTGGAGCAGCTTTAGAAGTTCCTCTGCGGGGAGGAGAGGGGAGGTGCTGAGGAGGTTGTTGGGTGCATGTTGGGAGCGGACCCCGTCCCCTGTCCCAGGCTGCTGTCAGCTCCATCCAGCCTCACTCAAACCCTCCCAGGGATCCAGGGGCAGCCACGGCTGCTCTGGCACCTGTGCCAGGGCCTGCCACCCTCACAGGGAGGAATTCCTGCCCAATGTCGCATTCCCAACCCCCTCCCTGTCAGTGTGAAGCCATTGCCCCTGTCCTTCACCCCAGCCCCTTGGGAATAGTTTCTCTCCACCTTTCCTGTAGGCTCTCTTTGCAGCCCAGGACACAATTCTCAGCCCAGGCTGTAACATGCTGTACAGAAAAGATTCCTCTGAGAGGAATGGGGTTGGGACACCTTTAGTACATCCAGCTAACACACTTACCTCAAGCACATACATTTAGACAGTGAATTTTATAAAGATATTTATTGTGCAAGAATGATTTTCATGCTCATTTACAATGAAATAATTAGTTTTAACAAATAATCATGCCATTGCTTAATTTCAACTCTAAACAGAATATTTACATTCAAGTTTACATCTTTGTTCAAGTTCCATGTACAATGTTGTCAGAATTAAGCAAGAATGCATCTTCAAATCAAAGGTTTTTTGTTGTGGGTTTTTTTGGGTTTTTTTTTTACAATAGAGTATCATCACCTTTCAGACTTTTACTGGAAATGACAAATTTCCTGTCTTTGCAGTACCCTTATTTCCCAGCCACAGCACTGGAAAAGAACAAAAAGACCCCAGTGGAACCAGTGTCACACACACAAATCAATCTCCAATTAGCCAGGCATTCAAACAGGAAGGAGGCTGCAGGATAACCTCTGCACAACTCATTTTTGGGGGACTGTTTATGTCATCCTTGAAACAGATCCTGCCTTAGAAAAATCAACCTCAGGACAATTCTTTCCCAAAGTCTTAAATAAGAAAAAGGCCTGCTTTGTCAATACTGAAGTGAACATCTTGTATTAGCACCAGACACACCCTGGAACTCTTTGTTGTGGTCAGGGAGTTTTTTGTCCCACCACAGGGATGCCCAGGATCACAGCATTGTGGTCTGGCACCTTTTAAAAAACAATTAAAGAAACAACACCTCCCAGCTCCCAAATATAAAAACAACAACAAATTAAGAAAAAATACTTTCAATGAGCAAAATTCAAACTGGAACTTTTTGGTACTGCTTTTTCTCTCCACACTCCATGATGTAAAGGAATTTCAGAGTCCAGCCCATGTTTCCTTGGCCTGCACACAAATGTCTCCCTTCTTCATCAAAGCTTTCCATCCCAGACTTCTCAGGCACCTCCCTCCCACCCTGACCTGAGACAGACAGACAGACAACACTCACACTCAGAAATGGTTCTGAATGACAACATGGCATGGTCCCCCCAAACAGCTCAAAAATGGAACAGAATTTTCCCTTCCTTCCTTCCACAGTTCCATGAGATGGCTGCTATTGTAATGCACGTTGTCCTGTGAGTGCTTCAGCTGCTGCCTGGTTTCACAGAGGCCAGGAACAGTAATGAAGAACCAGGGCTCAGCTGCCAGCTCCTGCTCTGACTTACCTCAGTCACACGACAACAAAAGAAGAGTGATTGTCCTGGAGTTTGGCTGTGAATCCATGGAGAGACACTGACTTTGAAGATGCACACCTGAAGACTGCCCCATGTGCAGTGAGCCTCTGAGGAGCAGAGAGCAGGGCAGGCGCTGTGCCCTCACGTGGTGACGTCCCCAGCAGAGCCCGCGGGCTGGGCCGCAGCCGCAGGAGGCGGCGCGGGCAGCACCTCCAGCTCCGACTCGCGGACAAAGATGACAGCGTCCCCACTGACATTGATCAGACACTGGGCCTGCAAAAGGACAGTGCCCCGTCACCACACCGACACAGATTCTCTGCTTGCTCATAGCTGCCAACTACAGCTGCACAGAAAAATCAACAGGGGCCTGTCTGGAGAAGGACAAATTACTACAATTTACTGCTGAGGAAACCCGTGCCACTTTCTTTCCTATATGCTCCCTTGTGTGCTACCAAACACGCAGATGGATCCCTGGAGACCACCGCAGTGAAATACCTGCATATCTGTACCTGCTTTCCCTACTGTTTTGAACATACTTAATTTACTGAATATTCTGCTATTGTCTTCACAAATCAAGGTTTGTCCCTTTATGTACAAAATGGAGCATTTTACATCAGCAACTCCAGGTACTTTTACATGGAGTTAGGATGGAAATCCTACACTGCAACATCAGAAATACCAAGTTCTGCACTACTGTGCAACTGTCTCCTGCAATTTACTTATTCTAGCAAGCTTGGTTCTTTCATTCATCTGGCTATTTATGAAACATCCTCATAATTTTGTGTTAATTACAAGAACACTCTTGGATTCTTCAAACATAATCCAAGATATCAAGAAATGTTGTTGAGTTCTCGCTTTACAGCACTGCTGGTTTTTTAAGACATAAAATGCATATTTGTATCATAGTAACCACAACACCACTTGTCACTTCACACCCCAAAGTACCTGGTTTTTGTTTGGGTTCTCCATGAAAACACACTGCTTCATTATGTATGACACAACTGCATTCCCTCCCAGAGCTGCAACGTGGGCCCTCACCATGGCAAACACTTCAGCAATGAAAGCGTGCAGGAACCCACTGACACCACCCTCCTAGAATGGAAAAAAGACACATCACCTATGGCATTGGGTCTGGCTACAAGATGCTGAGTACTTCTCTTACATCTCTATCAGCTGAAACACCCAGTGAATCCCACATGGTGTGGAGAACTTAAAAGCCATTCGTGTTTGAAGGGTCACAGTCACAAATCAGATGGAGAGAGACCATTCACAGGGGCCTGGGGTGACAGGACAAGATGGAATGAATCCTTGTTGGGATCTGCTGTCACAGGTACCAAAGCTCTTCAGCTACGGAATTTGTACCTACAGAATCTGCACTTAGTCCAGCAATGTCCTGTGACCATTTTCCTGCTCTGACATCCTTTTGAAAACACACATGGATTTCTCACACATGGATTGTCCTTTTCACATATGGATTTCTCAAGTTAAAAGGGGAGGTTAAAAGTAACTTGCAAGATCTCAACAAAACATTTGTCTGATCCAAGTCTCTCTAGAGAGTTCACAGCCTATTTTCAGGAAGACTGATCATTTTTATTAACATCTGCTCTGTAATTTCAGCAATTTGTAATTAGGAAAAACTAGCAAACTCTTCAGCACTGACAAGCCAGGCAAGAGGTAGACTCTCCTTCTGTGGCCAAAAGCAAAGATACAGCTACTTCCCAAAAGGACAGGAAAATTAAAAGGAACGTGGCTTGCATTTTGACATGATCAGAGGATTGTCTGTTTTCCCAATGCAGAATGGAGCTCAGGGTTTGAACCTCACCTCTAAGCTGGTTGCATGGTCACAGACTCATGGTGGAATTTTTGATGCTCAAGACACAAAGTTTGGTTACAGAGAATGTACAGAATGTAATGTTAAAAATCAGCACAACATTATCTATGATATAGGCAATGTTATATTAACCAAAGAATTAACCAAATACACTGTGAACCTTCCTCACTGAGCTTGCTAAATGAGAGAAGAACAGATGACTTTTTTTTTTTCTTTAGCATTTAATTTGGGTTCAAATGATCCCAACTTCTACCACTGCTGGTCAAAGACACATTTTTTCCACAGAGTTCTGTTTAAGAACTCACTGGTTTAGTGTTCTACTCAAATCAACAGCAGTGGCAATTGTTAACTAACCCCTTCCTAACGGTGCCAAACAGAAAATGGCTTCATGTGCTCTGTGACAAGAGCAGCACAAAGGAATTTGTTCTGCACTCAGCACCTTCCCCCAGGTGACACCAACTCTACTCCCTGGCTGTGCCACACCTCAACTCAAACCTCTGATTCTTGCAAATGACAAGAAATTGTTCCCTGGCACAAAAGACATCCCTGCCACGCAGCTCACCTCGCGCAAAGAAGTGGTTTCTCGAATAAAAAACATGTTGATTATCCCAAGGTACTTGGTTATTTTTGCCCCAGGGAGGAAGGAAAGAGGAGTCATCTTAACAACTGAGACAGTGGAATTGGTGCCCGACGGGACAGAACGGTGCCTCAGGTACCCCTCAGCCAATGGACTTGCTTTTTCAAGGGAAGTAGCTGAAAAATGGGAAAAAACAGCAGAAAATAACTATCAAGATCCACCAGCGTTCCTCAAAACACAAAAACTCCTCTTTATGGTTTTCCAAATAGCTTGGTGACAACATTCAGCTGCCTGTGATGCTCAGCCACATACGTGAGAAAGGAAATCATCATGCAAAGCATGCAAAAGGAGACAAGAAGCTGGAATGGCATTTATTGAAAGAGTGGCATTCCTGCGAAAGGAAAACATTGAGGCGAGCAGCTGCACACACAACCATCAGTTATAATGTGAAGGTAAAGGAAAAAGTGCCAACATTTTCAAACATGTATTCTGCTGGAAGAACAAATTATAGGAAGTGTGAAAGTTGTTGTGTTTCCCCAGTGCAGCATTTTCCATTAAAACAGGTATTAATCTCTGCTAATTTAAGCAAGATAGTCAGACCTGTGGCCAAAGAACTACTGAAAACCAACTCACCACTTGCTAATTTAGTGACCATTGCCTTGACTGTCCCCTTGGTGATTGCTTCCTGTTTCTCACCCCCAATTTTCCAAGATCATACATACACCTACATCCATGCAGTGGATGTTATACAATTAGTAGGCGTACACATGAATGGAGAACTAATTACAGCAAGACTTTATTTTGCTTTTTATGCTACAGTTTATCAACCCTACGTGAGGTTACAGGACAATGCCAGCAGTTTTCACCCTCACACGTGATCTGCAATGCTCCTGCTGGGCAGGGCACTCCACTAAGTCACCACTGGGAAATCAGAGATATGTCTCAGATTATCAGAACGTGGTAGAAACAGCCGCCTACTTGTCTTAATTGATCCGCGCCTTATGGTCTGAGCTTTCAGTTTAATGAGCTCTATCCAGCTGTTGCATCTGTCTGCAAAGGAACTGTAATCAACTGACGTTGCTGGAAACACAGACAGAAAAACAAAAGAAAAAAAAAAACAGAAAAAAAATATATGGATGATGTCTCTTGCTCATCCCAGTGCTCCTTTTTGAGGAGGCAATGCTCCCTGTCTGAGAGAGAACAACCATCCGTGTGCAGGTCTGGCTAAGAGCAAAAGTTACAGGCTAGGCTTGGACTTGTCCAAACCAGAGTACCCATTTCTGGTGGTGTCCCAGCTCTGAACCAACTGCCTGAGTGGGACTTCAGCACTGAAAAAACATGCAAATACAGTCATTAAGGACTTATGCTAGATTAGGTTTTTTTATCATCTCAATTTAGGCTGTAAGTTATGGCTTTTTAAACTTTATTTAAGCCTTTTTTAATTTTCATTGCTTTTTTTCCCTTACAAAGAGCTGCTGATCAGGATTCAAATTTCCCAAATGTCTTTATCAATAACTAACCTGCTACAGAGTGAAAAAAGAAAAACCTTTGGTGATGAGGGTAAGAGTCACAAACTGAAACAACACCTCTGTTTTTAAAACAAACGAGTCTTCCTTACAGAACAGTCTTCCTTGCCCCAACATCCTCCCTCCAACACCCCTCCCACCATCATTACAATGAGAAGTAAGAGTTGTTTCTGCTATGACTTTTGCTATTAGTTGCAGGGGTGTTTGCACATCTTTAAAAAAAAGGGAGGGGTTGCAAACACCGTTTCTTCATTATCCTGAAGAAACGGGAGGAACACATGCTAACTTCAAATTAACACAAGCAAAACAGCTCTCTGAGCAGGGACTCATTGTCTGTCACATCAAGTTACATCAATGTACCTGACAGAGAGGCTGTCATTATTACAAATCTAACTTCATAATGAAAAATCACATCAAAATATTAGGATCTCATTAAGCCACACCAGAGCATGCACTCTCAGTTAAGTAGTAAACACTTCCTGGAGTAAGACACATCCAAAAAGAGTATACCAATATCCCAGGAATGCTCATTCTGTTCTGGAAGATGGCTAAATTAAGGAAACTCACCTCTCTGAGCAGCAGGAATACCTGTGTGGGAACTTGCACCCTCCAGGGCTTCTAACAAAACAAAATTAATTGTGTTCAGATCATCTATTCAGCAGAGTTACAGGAAAACAGCTTCCAAAAAGATGGGAGGGGCTATTTCCAAGGGTCTGGAGTGACAGGACAGAGGGAATGGCTTCACACTGACAGAGAGTGGGTTGGGATGGGATATTTGAATGAAATTCCTGGCTGTGATGGTGGGCAGGCCCTGGCACAGGTGCCCAGAGCAGCTGTGGCTGCCCCTGGATCCCTGGCAGTGCCCAAGGCCAGGCTGGACACTGGGGCTGGAGCACCTGGGACAGTGGGAGGTGTCCCTGCCATGGCAGGGCTGGATTGGGATGGGATTTAAGGTCCCTTCCAACCCAAACTACTCCACAATTCTGTGACCCTTAAAAAGATTTTTGAGTCAACTATGAAAAAACCCCACCCTCTATATCATAACCTGTGTACTGTGATAACAGAGTTAGTGTAAATAATTCACTTTACTAAATCTACCTTGCAATTTTAATATGTTTACTCATCAAAGGTCACTACTGTATAAGACTGTAAACCAGGATTTTTAAAACAATCCTACAGAAAAGTAAAAACATATGAAATAACCTTTTAAGCAAATGTAACTACAACGAGGTTGTGAAGGAATGACAGATGGAACAGTTTTCAGGCTGAACTGCCCTGCCTGCAGCACGATATGGGATGTGGAGAAGAGGAAAAGGGGTCCATGGGAACAGGCTGCCCTCCTCTGGTCAGTGCCCAGCACAGCACAGCCCAGCAATGGCTGCAGACACCAACAGAAATCCCTGGGTAGCTTCTCTTTTCGAAAATAAAAAATGCAGCAAATTTAAAGTTAAGCATTAAAAAAACCCAAAGAATAAAAATCTTTTTGCTGAAATTAATCTGGCCTCTGAAACTACAAGTAAGTGTGGAAGGCACCCTTCTTTATACAAAAGAAGTAACAGGCAAAAAGGGAGCTCAAACATTTACAATAATTCCCAGATATTTAATTTCCTCTCAGTAACCATTTTGGTAGATAATCCAACAAGGGAGAAGGCATTAAAGACAGCTGATTTCAATGAACTGAATTTTTAAAGCAGTCATAGAACTGTGACAGCCATTCTTGAAACACAGCTCTATCTCAGGTAAAATAAAGCAGCTGTTTAACAGCTACAGTGTGCAGCACTGTACAGATTATTTACTATACAAGCTTAGGCTCCTTTCACTTAAAGGAAATTTGCATGCAATCAGTATCTGGCAGATAAAGTATTTCCCATCATGAAAACAATGAGATTAATTCTGTGAGGCTGAGAAAACATGGAGGTACTTCATATAGGCCATTTACAGTATGGGACAAGGCTAATTATTATCTAATTGATAGTTATGTCAGATGACACCCAACACCCAGTGGCTTGCAGCATCTTCAATATTCTAAATGCAAAGACAGGAAATATAGACAGAATGATCAGCCAAGCCATCTTCTGTGACTCTCAAAAAATTTCACAACAGGAGTAAATACACCCTTTATGCTTAGGCAGCAAAGCACATTTAAAGCCTGTGAAGTACAGATTTTTTAAAGCTTCTACAACTATGAAAGAGCAGAACTCAAAATCCATAAAAAACAACAGCTGAATATTCTTCCCCTTAACTCACCTTTAGCTGGAGAGAATGGCTGAGAAGAAAGGGGATCAGAGGAAAGTTCCAAGGGAAATTGCAGCTGTTCTTCATTGTCTGTAGATGCTTCAACAAAGAAAACATGGCCAACTGATAATTACCCCCAAAATAAGATTTGCCAGTAATTACAAGCAAAGTCAGTTCAGTCAGGTCTGACTTGAACAGCTATTTTCAGCATGTGCATAAAGTGATGCAGTTCTGCAGAAACAAATCCAGCTGCAACACTGAACAGAGCTGGTGTTCCACTGAAGAGGATTTGAGGTTTTTAGGAGAAAAATGAAGGCCATTCATGCATTTTTATTTTGATTCTGCAGTTGGATCTTTGTCAGCTATTACAATAAAAGTTAGCACTTATTTCACATGCAAGGAAACACTTCACTGTACTGAAGAATACAGTATATATATCAGCTATAACTAATGTTTTAGAAACATGTGGCTCTGTTCTACTATCTAATTCCAGTCTGAAAGCTGAGTGTGCTCAGAGCTCTGTCTGAATCCCCCCTGCAGACTGCACACTTGCATTTCTAGCATCAGCTGGTGCTTCACTAGCAGGGTGCCCTATGCAGACCACAGCAGTCTATTCCATCCCCTCCATGTGCTTCACTGAACTCCAAAACTATTACTGACCTGCCTAAGGGTTTGCAGAAGGTTGGGGTTTTTTAAAAGTATTACAAATACTTTATTTTCCACGTCCTTCTAGTACAGACAAAATTTATACTTATAAGAACAAGTATTCCCTGATGATGATGATTTACACATGTTCCAAAATACAACAGAAATGCCATCATCTGTTAAACCAACATTTTAATCAAATTAGTATCATAGACAGAAGTACCATAAATTTGTGGATTATTAAATATGTAATACTTGATAAGTCATCCTGCTGGAGGTCAAGTACATGAGCTCTAAAAAACCTCCATGTGTTGAAAGACCCTCTCTGAAAAATATGTATATTTGAACTTGATGATCCTTGTGGGTCCCTTTCAACTCAGAATATTCTGTGGTCTGTGACCTGTACGTGTAACTGAAATTAAAATCCGGACTCATTAGGCACTGGGGATAAAAAAGGAAAGATGCCTCACAATATTTACCTCTTTGCTGTGATTTTTCTGTAGGTGCTTTGTTGGCTTGTAGTGCTTGGTTTTTGTCATATGTAATGGCAACAGCTGTGACTGCAATCTGCAAATCAGAAATACTTGGCATATTAGGTAAGTTCATCTCTTGTGCAATCTGAAAAATAATTTTGCAAACAAGCAGTTCTCTGCATAGAAACACACCAGGGAAAAGCCATGGAGGAATTCAGCAGCCATAGCAGTAAATGAAATCCTAGCCCAGGTTACCCTGAGCAGCAAGCAGCACCTAGGGCTGTGCCTGGAGGCAGCAATTCCCTCACCTGAACCAGCTCATCCTCTGGCAGAGCCACGGTGAAGTTGACGTGGCAAAGGCAGCAGGGGACCATGGAGCGCAGCTTGAAATACAAACTCTGGTGGAGACAGGAGATCATTCCGTGTTACTCAGGGAAAAGGGGTGGTTTATGTCAGAGAAATTAGGGATCAAAACTCTCTTCATAGCAGAAGTCATCTCATGATATTAATTTTTTCTTGCAGAAGAATTACATTTGTGAAGTCAGGACAGAATGCAATTTCCTGTGGAGCTGATTCTTTTTCTCGAGTATCCTGCTAGTCAAAGGACTCCTCCAGGTTCCACAAGCTCTGGAATTCCCTAACATACTAAAACAGGCTGAACCTATCTTTACACAGCTAATTACAGACACTTTGCAGTCTATTTTCAAAATTATGAGGCACATGTTAATTTCAGTACAGCTGAATTTTCCCTGGCCCCCATTTGAACACATAAAAAGTATTTGAAATAAGATTCTTACCTTCAGCAGATTCTCACAGAGATCATTAAAGTTCTTATTGAGTGTTTGATTTGTTGGGTTAATGTTGCTTAATCTGGACACTCTAACTGCTGTGAACATCTGAATTAGAAACAAACATGGGGATTTTTTGCCAACATATGCAAATATATTTCATCCACTGTCTTAAACCCAAATTCATAAAGAAGGAAAATAATGTAAAATATGTTAATATTTATGTTCAATAAGTAACAAAATAAGTTAGCTAAGCAACACAGTCAACCTGTTCCCTTTAAGGGGCTTCAAACCTAGCCAAACCTTTCACAAAGCCAAACCCTTGAAGTTCAAATTTACTGTAATTACTTTCATATTTCTGTATTAGGTTATTTGTTACATGACAGCGTTAAAAAAAAAAACAGACAAAAGCCCAGGTTCTCATACCTTATTGTTCTTACCAAAATACTACTTTTATTTCTGTCACAAGGGTGTCCTTTGCATTTAGCTTTCAAAATATATATTTAAATTACTACAGCACATTTCAACACAATTTAGCCAAAGTTTCAATTTTGAATAACCTTACTTGAATTTCCGGTGTCCAGTTATTTATACCAGGCATAATTTCTGTGTTGCAACTGTAGAATCCTGTGAAGAAAATATTTGTGAAAAAAATCTATTTTATACACTGGGATATAAAAATACTCGTAAAGGAAACATGTGACAAGGCTTTGCAAGTATTTTCCCTCCTGTGGTTTTGAATATTGAGTATTAAACCAGAAATGAGATCAACATTCAAAAAACAAATACAGAATTCTTGTAGGAGGAGCCAACACCCCAAATCCACAACTGCTCCACCTATTTCTATTAGATAAACTATGCACAAACGAGGAAATTTTTAAAAAAGGTGTGATATGAAAAGCTAAAAAGCCAACCTTTAATGGAGAGCACAGTAAAGGCTGTAAAGGAACTACAGTAGTGACTGATTGCAAATGAAAAAACAGAATTATAATGACTAAACAGCAGAGTAAAAGAAGTTATTAACAGCAAGTCAGTGATTCTGAAATCCTGAAGATAGAGTTAAATAGGCAGAAAAGAGCCCAGTCTGGTAGGGCCTATGTAAAAACACAAAATGAGCTAGAAAAGAAATTGTATGGCAGCTTGCAGAGGGTATAAATATTAATGGACTGTCTTCCAGAACATCAAAAGCAAGAATTCTGTTGAAGAATCAAATAAGATTTAGAAAGGATATGCAGAAACAATAACATGAGAGCAGAAACCATGCTTTTCTTTTTACAGCAGTGTAGTAGAGCTTTCCACAACAGCAGAAAACCAGTGCCCTGTTTGTTTGTCTTGAACAAGTGTCTGAAGGAGATACTGAACAAAAGGCAAGTGAAAAAGAAGGATTCCTATAAAGCACAGAAGAGGCCAAAGATCAAAGAGCTCATTGACACTGAAGAGCCAACTTACTCCACTACCAGAGAACTCTCTTTAACCTCCGAGTGATGAGGTGCTAGGGTGACTGCTCCTGCTGCTCTCCTCAGTGTAGGGGTGTGGGTGTCACTGCCCAGCCAGAGCAGCTGAAGCACCCCCAGTCCCTCACCAACTAACAGTGAAGCACTACCAAATGAAGTGCAAATGGAAGACTAGGAAAAGAGGGACAAAAATGCTTCATGCACACCGTGAACACATCTGTAATTTTGGATTTTGTGCTTCAAACACATTCATGGCTTACATGCAGAAGAGGATAAAACAAGATGATGGCTGATGGCCTTAATTTAGGGCAGTAAAATCAACTGCAGCAGAAGTGGATAATCAGTGAGGAATAAAAGCCTGGGTGATAGTAATAGATAATACAAGGGCAGTTCTGAGCTTGACAGGATTAACACTGGTATCAGTTATTAGGAAGGAAACCAAGACTTTCTCAGAAGAAACACCGGGAAATTCACAATGACAAGAGGAAAAAAGGACAAATCAAATGTCCAGAGCCATTTCCAATAATGGACACCTACATTTGCCTCTTATCCAGATCCAGCAGTTCTGCTGGGAAAGGTATGACATATCTATACAACAATAAATAGCATAAAGACAACTGATACCAGGCCATTAGTTCTCCATTCTACTTTCATTACCCTGAAATCTGTAATTCAGTCTAAAAATCTGCAGAAACAGCAATATTGTCAGTTGTCTTGGAAGTTTTAAAGTAATTTTTAATAAAACTAGTCAAATTTTGTCATTTTACAGCCTACAGCATAAATGAGAAAAATATGGTTGTAACTATACCAGAAGGTGGTGGAACATCTGTCAGTAAAGAATGAACATCTTCCATTGCATCTGTGTCATCAATCTGCAAAAAGGGAATAATTGAGAAAATCACATTGCTGTGCCAGTAGGAAGCTTCCAAAAGAAATCAAACAACCTGCATTCCATTCAACCTTTAACACTCCTATTTCAGATCAGACTGAGAGCCCTGCTGCCTGCTGTAAATATTCTGGTGTGCCTTTACATTCATCCTGTCTTACTGACCTGCAAGAGATCCACATTTACCAGTAACTGCCAACATTTCCTTATCAAGTGTTTTAGAAATGGTTTATGATTTAGCTTCAGTATTGAAGGGTTTTCTGTCAAGTAATGGGTCTCCTTCTCCCAACTCCATGTAAAAGGGGTTGTCTTTTTCTTTCCTTCAAAAAACAACTCAAAAACTATACAAAACCAACCCAGGTATCTTTACCTCTCATAACTGCATCTCAGCCTCTTTCAGCACATCCTCATCACAATGAAATTTTTACTACTTTTTCTTATATAGCTCCAGTGAACAATGATTTCACTCTTCAAAGCTTGGTCAGGAGTTCAACTAAATCTTCTGGGATATTGTTTCTGATATCCAATTAATCATAAACCCAATTTCTCAAATAAGACAGTAGTAAATAACTCCACAGATAAAAAGTAATTTTTTCTATAAATGCCTTGCAAAAATCCTGGTTTTTTACAAAGGTATTCGACCCTTTTTGCAAAAGCACCAACCAATCTAAATTTATTATCCCAAACTCTCCCAACCTGTTATTTTTCACTCTCCTCTCATACTCCTGTTCTCAAACAAACTCCTGTTATAGTGCTCCCTCATTCTTCCTATCCACCACCTTTCTTCCAGATTATTTTCCATGAGGATGGTGATTTGTGAAGATGAACAAAGCCTTAGATGCACCTCAAGCTGCAATTTCAGGCTGTATTTGGAAGGGGATTTTAGTCAGTGACAGGCATTTGTACTGTCTGCATCTACAGGATGACTGAACTCCAGCCCTTTGTAAACACTTGCTGGAGTATTCAAGACTTCAAAACAGACAATGTTCAATTGTGTCTTTGAATTCAGTGAAGAGAGAGGTGACAGAAATCTACACCCTTTATTTATCTGCAGGTGTTGCTCTTTCTGGTTGCAGCTGTAGAAAGAACTGGAAGGTATTGTCACAAGTTGTGAATTCTTAAATTATGAAAAGCAATAGCTGAAATTCAGAAAATCTTTTATGTGCTCTCTTGGCACATGCAGTTTTTTGAATGCTTTGAATGCATCCCATTCTGGAAACTAATAATTCTGAATGTTCATCTACAACAGTAAGAGCTTGGAAGCAGGAAGAAAATACAATCTTTTTATCTGCTAGATATAAAGTGTGGCAACACAGAACCTCGGTGTTTGTGAAAATAGATCTTGAGTTCTTGATTAGTCTGATCTGCTGCTTGAAGCAAGCAGAGGAACATTTCTTAACAGCTCCTATTAATTAATCTAGAGACTGCTACATATTCATGAACAGCAGGGCAATCTTTCTGCAAATAGTCTGTAGACAGAGCTGTGCTTTAAGCAAATAGAGTCAGGAAAAGAGAGACAAAGCAAAATGTAGTACTTCACTTATTCTATTGATACAAAAGGGAAAAATCCATACACAAGCTAGGAACTGTTCTTGGAGATGAGTAAGAAAAAATTTTTAAATATATATTTCAGGAGAAGAAAAGTAGGAACATGAGTAGTGCAAATGTTTATCACCTCCAAGACAAAAGCATCCTTCTTCCCATGTGAAAGGTCAAGCTCTGTAACTTCATCAGAGCTTTCTGACTGAGATCTCAATAGCCTGGAACGTTGTCTTGGCTCTGGAATGGGAGACCCAATAATTTCTTCAGGTAACTCCTAAAAAGAATGTAAAAATTAACAGATGTTCTGCCCAGCTTAAAAAAAATTCAACTCTCTACAAGTTGTTAGAATAACAATTCTAAGAATCAGATCATTCTGAAAATCATTCTACTGAGAAATACATCTAAATAATACCACAGTGATTTGGCTATGTGGCAAAGGGATCTGAAAATCCCAGCAGCTCTCCAAAATCCAGTGAAACAAGTCTGTATCTCTATTTGTAAATAAACTTCTGTTCCAAATGACTCAGTAAGAAAAAATGGATATACAGTGCATATATTTGAATCAGCATGCTTTATTTTTTAAGAATCAAAGATTTACTTACTGGAGGATTAATCTCATAAAGCTCCTTGTTCTTTGCTATTGTATCATTTATTTTCTTTTGCATATGGGATATGTGCTGCTCATAGGTGCCATCATTTGGAGTCTTGCCAGCAATCTGAATACCTCCAGGTGTTGGCAGAGCTGCTAAATACACACCTGTTGCAGACTTTCACAAAGTCACAAAGAAAAAGACAAGTATATGAGCATGAATTCCTAATATTTTCATATAAAGCTTCCTGTAATGCTTGTGCTAGAACAGCATTGTAACATGCAAATTACAGCAGCATCTCTTGTAAATAAACAAATGGATCTTTCTCTTCTGCTCACTTATGAAAAAACTTCACTATTCTTTTAGAAAACTCCCTCTTTTCCATTTTTCATGGTGGAACTCTGAAACTTGCCTGAAAATTCCAAACAAACTAAAAATTAAAGCCTCTGTCCCAGTCTGTTTTGCATAAGCAAACAGTTTTTTCGAGTTTTTGAAGATCTAAAATTTGGCCAAACCATTTACAGCATGAATGAGGTTGTGACAACCCTATTTCTATTTTCAGGAAACAGATCATGAAAGACAAAAGAAGATGGCAGCCAGAATTACCCAAGCATGCCCTAATGCAGGAAGAAGCAGCATATTCACTATTCTAATCTAGCAGGAAAGAATGGGGTTAGAAAATATTGTTAATGAACCTCTCTTGACTTTCTCAAATCTATAATTTATTTCTTCAGTTCCATCAAAGAAGAGGTAAAAGAACTTCCCCTTGTTGCCAAATAACCAAAAGATTTCCTGACAGGCTTAACTGACCTTTATTTGTCATGGAACTGCAAATTCAATTTGAAGAACAGGGATCTCTTTGACAGGACCTTTAAGGAATACCATCATTTTTCTACAATTTGTTCCAATTAACTGTTTGACGTTTCTTTTCCTCTCATCCCCTTTTTAATCATCTTGTCTTTTACCATTTTCAAGCTATTCCAATCTTCTTCTGCTGCTTATGAAAGACAAGTCTGCCCTGATTTTACAATAATTAAGACACTTGCTCTTAAAATGACATTTTAACATGTCTGATTACTCTGAATCCCACAACACTTGCATGTCTTCCTGAAAAAATACTGTAAGAGAGCAGATCCGCCCCAGGATCCCAGCGGTACTTACTGCCAAGCCCATCAGCATGTTCTCCCCCACAGTGATCTGAATTCTCAGCCCAAAGAGGGCATTCATTCCCCTCAGCTTGAGTTTGTTCATCAGCTGTGTGTGCACTTCATACTCCATGAAGGGCAGGAGGTTGCTGATGGAGGTGGCATTCGCCTCAGCCTGAGCTTTCTTCTTCAGCCGGCACAGCCTGGAACAGGAGAGCACAGACAGAGCTCTGACGGACCTGGGGAGGCTCAGAGGGGCCACTGCAATTCCCTCCTCACTGGATAACCTAGGAGAGCTTCTTCCCAATGCCTGGACCATCTGCAATTCCCTTCTCACTGGATAGCCTAGGGGAGCTTCTTCCCAATGCCTGGACCATCTGCAATTCCCTCCTCACTGGAGAGCCTAGTGCAGCTTCTTCCCAATGCCTGGACCATCTGCAATTCCCTCCTCACTGCATAACCTAGGGGAGCTTCTTCCCAATGCCTGGACCATCTGCATTTCCCTCCTCACTGCATAACCTAGGGCAGCTTCTTCCCAATGCCTGGACCATCTGCAACTCCCTCCTTACTGCATAAACTAGTGCAGCTTCTTCCCAATGCCTGGACCATCTGCAATTCCCTCCTCACTGGACAGCCTAGGGCAGCTTCTTCCCAATTCCTCTGATTGCTGCAGCAGTACAATAACATGCCAGCTCTTTACAAGAACTCCTTGAGACAGTGCCATCTGAAAATTTCTATTTTCAGCTTTTCTTCTAGTAAGAGCTCCCATGCAAACATCTGCTTCTCTTGCTGCAAGCCTCAAACATTTCAGGCACAAGTACAGAAAATTACTACTGTAATTTCTAGTGGTAGAACTTTTAAGATTCCTATTAATACAGTTATTCAAGACACACATTGGAAGGAAGAAAAAAATCCCAAAACCAAACCAGATCCAAGTGCCCTCACAGCTAAAGCATTAGTTATATTGATCTGAAAGTAACAAAGCAGATCATAGCAATCCCATCTGTGACTATATGTTAGTCATCTTCCCCTCTTTGGGTTTAGTCCTACAAGCTGAAATTCACACCAGGGCAGTGATACTTTCAGAGAGAAATGTTATTTAAGAACACATGACAATTGTATGTTCTATAAGGTTTGATGACACGTTGGATTTTAGCAACAGGAATTCTTTCAGAGGTCTCCAAAACTTTACTAGACTAAGGAAGTATTTAGACAGATACCTGGCTTGAATAAGACATCCCTTCCCAACAACTATTGCCTCTACAGGAAGGTCAATTGTGGTGAAAAGGACATCAGGAACTTTTTGCTTCCTGCAGTTGTAACAGTAAGTGAGGTGAGCAGGAAAGGGCATGTTCAATTCATCATATGGGATATGGCAAAATCCACAACCTGGTGGTGAAGCTTCTTCAATCCTAAAAATACATTATGGAGAGAAAGCTTAAAACATCTGCATCTTGTTAACCATGCTCAGAAAGTGCACATGTGAATAAACACCTACAGAGACCCACTCAAATCATCCACCACAACTGAACTCTGCTCCATTACACCAGTGTGACAAGTATTACAGTACACCAACCACAAGAAGGAAAGGCTGCACACTGCTTGCTAAAATGCAATCAATAAAACTTGCATTGAAACTTCTTATGTAGGGATTGAGAAAAAGGACATTCAGTGACCACCAATTCATAAAAACCTGTAACATCACTGAACTGGCTTGAAGCAGTGTAACTTCCAAATATAATCCATGATACAACACTTGCACACAGAATTTGCTGTACCAAACACACAAAAAATTCTCTTTTTCTTATTGTGCCCAAAACCCCATAAGAGCAGAATACAAACAACAAACCAATCATCCTTCTGAGAAGCAGCACAATAAGGTAAAATGAATTATTTCCTTATAACACAGTCTCTCCCCCCCATGAGGAGTACCCAGGAATGAGCACTATAAAAACATGAACAGGGAAAGCACAGGCCAGCTGCATCCCTGCCAATGGATTCTGCTTCACATCAACAATTCTTCTCAGGGATTTTGCAGAGGTGCTTAAGCAAGCCTGTCAGATTTGGAACATTAGTTATTATAAGACTTTGGCAAACAGATCTAGCCTTGAGCATGAGCTTTGTCTGTTTACCTGTTTTACCTCCCTCTGGCACTTCTAATCCATGCCACGACTCTTAGTAGCACCAAAATACAGGTTTTGAAAAAGTGGTATTTTCTTTATATTACAAACATGGTATTTCTTTCTCTCCATCATATAGTGACTACAAAACCAAGTATTTCAGTTCTGGCTACAGTTTTTAAAACTCTGTCTATACCAGAAGACAATGGTCTTCTGCTAACAAAGTAAAAGAATAATAAATTCTAAACAAACCATGTTGACTGGTTTATTATGGAAAAAGCAATGCAAGTGCTAAAGTGTAATCAATAGCCTTGTTTACAACTATAATTATCCCTTGAAATATTTGATGACTATCCTGATGAATACATAATAAATTACCAATAAGCATTAATTAAACTCTTTTTCCCCCAAAAATAACTTTGTGGCAATGCTCATTCTTCAAATTCAATTTGCAAGAGCAGAGACAAAGGGAAACTTCATGTTTGGCCTTCAGTTTCATGATTTTGTTCATCAACTTCAACAAACACATACCTATTTTGGAAAAACCTGGCATCATATTTGTTTAATAACCAAGCTGCTTTACCTCCCACACATTAATAGTATTTAATGGAGCAGATATACACACATTACAGACACAGCCACTTTTGGCTCATCTAAGTTATCAAACATCTGTCATTTTTTATGGTGCAATACAAAATAGAGAAAAGAGACCTGAAGAGCAGCGAAGGAAAAACCCGAGTTATGGTCTGTGTTAGTAGTCAAACGTGTTACCTTATTGAGACTGTTAGAAATAAAAACAGAGTATCTAATTGGGTGCAGAGCTCCATTACTCCTGTGGTGGTTGTTGTTAGTGAAAAGCAGTAAAGTGGTTGGTCCCGCATCCTGCACTGTAACACTGTAACCTACCCTAATAGAGAAGAACTATCTTGGCTCTGAGGAAAAAAATCAACCTCTCCCTTCTCTGACCCTATGGAAAAGAAGCCAGGCTGCCATGACAACCTTTGTTCCAAACAGCCTTCCATGGTGCCATCCTGAAGGAACCTAGGGTTCAGTACAGCTGCTGTGCCAGATGCGGACAAAATACAGACCTCTTCACTATAAGAGAAAAGAACAACAACACAGTGAATTCCTACTGCTTGCTGGTGCTTTTATAGCAAATCATCAGATTCAAAGGCTACTGCAAGTCTCAGTGAGGCTCAACATCACCACTAGTTCTGTGCACTTGTGCAATTTTACCCATTAGAATTCACAATCCTCTTCTGGTGTTTAAACCATAAGCATTGCCTAAGTACAAGGCCAAGGAGGATTGCACAGAAAGACTCCAGAGCTTTGCCTCATGTTACAAATGATATGGCAACAGAAAGGCTAACCAGGTTTAAATGTGGTTTTCAGTTCTGTGCTTAACAGTGCAAAGAACTACAGCAAAACAAGTAAACGTTAAAAAATAACCAAGGCATAATTTTTTACCAAAGTAAAAGAGAAGTTGAGAGCCCCAGCATCTTAATTAACATCCAATTTTCAAAATGAACTTTCAATTTTCACAACACTGACAAGAGTGCTTCATGAAGGATAAGAAGTGGCAAAACAGTAAAGTTTTACTAGGAAGAATTACAAAAATGGTACAATTTGCATGTAAAGTAAACAACCATACTTAGGATTTAGCAGAGTTCAAGCTCTCAGAACAACCACAGAGCTTTAATAATTCTCAAGTTGTTAAATAAAAAACAAACCTCAAGCATTCAGTAGAAAATACTATATGGAAAAAAAATAGAGAAAATCTTTCCCATATTTTCTAGAATTATACACTTGGGGTTTTTTTTTTTGTTGTTTCTCTTTCCAAAATAATTTTTCATACATAATATGTCTGGCAGACCAGCACTTACACACACAGGCTTGTGCTTTGAGCATGGAATAAAACTGAACTGGCAATACAGCATAGGAATTCCAATAAATATTTTATCAATAATCAAACACTACCACATTAAATTCCTTATAGAGAAATGCAAGCATCAAATAACCCAATACCTGACTGCCTGTCTGTGCTCTCAACATTCTTTCCCCATAGTTAGGGTAGGATAAAGAATACAAACTACTCATGCTTTTTACAAGGAGACTGACAAGCAAAGGAATAAATGCTTCATTTTGGTGTGTTCATCCCTCAGTGATGGAGTAATTGAGGAAAATATAGTAAATCAAAACTTTTCCAACTTCTCTCCTTAAAAAAGCAAATTTTTAGTGCTTTCACCTTAAAATATTTAGGCAAAATCAACTTGAAAGAAAATAAATTCAGATGTTTGAATTTGCTTGCTACTTCCCAAATGCAATTTAAAATAGTGAACCAGAGTAATTTTCTGTTTAATATAGCAGCCAAACCTGGCTCCAGCACAAGCTTTCTTTGGGCCTGAAATGTGAAATTTTCCATTTAAGTTCTGGTCTGCCAGTTGCTATCCAATAATGAAACTCAATACATATACTTTTAGGAACAGTCTTAATAATTTTGGTAGATTAGGTTTAGAAAGCTTAATAGATAAATTAATATTGTTACTACAAAACAAATTGTAAGCTTTAGTTTAAAATAAAAAAATTGTAACATTCATTAGAAAAAATTTAAAACCCAGATCTAAACATATATAAAAATGCCTAATACTGAAACTTCATAATCTCACTTAAACTCTGTGAAGTAATTATAGAATAGACAGTACCAACATCTGTACTGGAATAGTTAATTTTTAATCCACTGATGATGAAATACGTTTTCTGTGGCATTTTGAAAATCAAATCATCATCATGATTTACCAAATGCTGGTTGATTCACTGTAGCCCACTACAGCATGACAACCCAATGCCTTGGCATGGGATTTTATTTCTTGTCTGATTTCTGCCCACCAGGCATCTCGTGTCTCTGGTTCATCTGAAAGACAAAGTATAAATCAGTTCACTATTCTGGACCAGGCTGACAAAAAGCTTCATGCAATTAACCTGAAAAGCTGAGGTTTTCATATGCACGTGCTTTCAATGTGGACACTTTCTTTCCTTCCTATTTATCCACTTCAAGGACACACTAACAGGACTTTTTCACTCATTATCTTGTTTCTCCCCCAGGTGAGCAGACTCTCACAGATCACTGCATTCTTGTTGTCCATACAACAGGTAACACTAAAATACTGCAGGTGCTCTTCCAGTCTCTGCCTGTTTTCAGTCCCAACCCTCGGCTTCCAACAACACCAGAGCAGTGTGTAACATCAGATACTCTGTAATGCTGAAAACCTAACAGTAATGAAACAGTATTTCTAGTAGTGAACTTATATTTTACATTGCTGTGCACTTGCTATCTCTGAAATAACCTCAATAAGTTTTCCTACTGGAAGCAGTTCTCTCTGTTAACCAGACTTTGAAAATATTTGTTCCAAACTGTACCATTAATCAAGCAGACAGTTCTGTGGCACTTCTAGCTGTGAGAAGCCATAAGGATTTGAAACTACTCCTACATTCACAATGTGCAGAAATACAGGATGCTTGCTGTCAGTGCTTTTTGAGTCAGTATCCTGGAAACTGCACCTTCCCTCCATGCCCATGAATGGATTTGAATTACCTTTATTGTCCCCAAGGTTACATGTTAAATATACCCTGCCTGCTTTTCTTGAAAACCACAAGATACAAAAATACAAGAGTGTGCTGCTAGAGTAAGTTCATGCAGTCCATTCATTTTTTAACTGCTCAGCAATTAATTCCCACAACTAAAGCTCTTGTCTTACAAGCTCTTTACACATGGAGCCAACAAATACTGAATTTACAACTAGAATTTGTCAGCTGTTTCTTCTCTCAAAACTTACCTGCTGCAATGAATGTAGTTAGCAACTGTGTTAATTGTTGATACAAAAAGGGAAAAACAGTAACAATCACTACCAAGGGTTCTGAGTAGAGAGATTCTTATGGAATTTCTCTGAAATTAACTGAGCTTGGCACAGATACAAACTTCTGGCTACTGAGTTCTCCTTGCTGAATCATAATTTAATTATCACAGTCAAAACCTGGAATTTATTTGGAACCAATTTTGTACTACCAAGAATATTTACCAACACAGTGTATGATAACCACATTATCATACACTTGCTTCTCTGACAACATGACAAACAAAAATGCAAGATGCAGATATACACAATTTAAAAGTTATTGAAACAGAAATATTGTAAAGCAAGATGTATTCATTCATGACTTTACCTCAACTTTGCATTTAGAACTGGGCTCTAATTTTTCTAAACTGAACTATCAATCATTTTCTAATTCCAAGGAAGAGCAGAGGTCTGTATATTCAATTATACCTAACTTTGGATGGCATTGCTTGTGTAACTCACAGCATTACACTGACCAGCAGCAGCCTGGGGGCTCAGACTAAAGTTTATTCAACCTTTGCTTTAAGAAACAAACACTGAACAGAAAAAACCTTACAGTGAGAGTTCTTAGGAATGTTCTCTGCAAGGAACAAAAAAATATACACGTCAGGACACAAAGCAAGGGATTTCCATGAACTGCATCAATCATGTTCTGTAATCCAAGCTCACTTTAGCAGGTTTCAGTGCACTACTGGCAGACTCCTGAGGGGCTGCACTTCACTCTCAGGGTGAAAAAAACTGTTTAAATCCTATCAGTGACTGGGCCAATAAATGCTTAAGATGATACTCAACAATCCTGACTCAGATTCCTGGAGCACCTGCTCTTCCCAGCTTTGGAATTCCTGGGATTCCTACAGAAATAATCCAGCACACACAGGGCTGGAGCTCCCCAGCTCAGCTGTCAGGACCACCTGTGGTGCAGAAAATGGGAAATGCCTTCTCTCTGCAGGTACCCCTCTGGACAGAGGCTGCTCTGATGCCAGCAGGGAACAGCAGCAGGGCTGGCTGAACCAAGGGATGATCTCTGGAAAGGGATTGTAAGGCCAGGCCACAACCTCTGACAAATTCAGAGTGCATGGAGGATGTGAGAGCACAAGCACATTCTGTGTCAAAGCTCTTTTTAACTCTTTTTGGTGACATGGACATGGATCTTGGCAGCAGTTCCTCCTCTCCCCTCCAGTCATGGGCCAGAGATTGTTTTGATAAGCAATGTGTTTCTCCTTACACATGAAAAGCGTAAGTAGCAGCAAAAGTGGTTCTCTGACCATGCAGAAAAACACCTGCTCAATGAGACAGGGTCACAGGCAGCTGGCTATAAACACTGCCTACACAGACACACAAATTCTTGTACTTCACAGAAAAACACCTGCAAAGAAGAAATGCCCTTTTTTCTAGACAAAAAAGTGCCAATTTTCAAAACTATGACTTTTTACACCTTTTGGTTCCATCTGGTACAAACTGCTTCTACTTATCACCAGTGGCATTTCAAAGTCAAAGTGCAACAAAATGTGAAGTCATGATGAGGACTTGAGAGTAACAACAGGTGAAGTGACTGAGGATGAACACAAAGTGCTGTGAAATAAAGGAAAGAATGATAAAGACAAGAATGACATTGAAAAGGAATGTAGCCACAGTGAAAACTGAAATGGAATGAGATGTTGAAAGGAAACGGGGATCCTTAAAGTGAACATAAAAGGTAGAAATAGTGACGGGTCCCAAATTCTATGCAAACATTTATCTTTCCTCCACAAAAAACTATAGTTTAAATTATTGAACTTAAGAGACTTAATTTTCTTACCTAACATCTACAAGGACACCTTACCATTATGGCAAACAGACTGCTGTGAAGTTGCTCAACACTGTGTCTTGCTAAAACAACATTTAACCCTTTATTCTAAGAATCTGTTCAATATCCTCACTAACAAAACTATTAACTACAGAAATATAATGGATCATTTTCATTCTTTTGAGAGCTAAGAAGCATTGTCTTTAGTGTTAACAGGATCAGTCCCAATATCTTTCAAAGAATCCAACAATTTCTTATCGTACAAGAACAAATATTTCTATAAGAGTCATGCAGAAACAATTGTTGTAAAGAAGACTGTGACCTCTGCTTAAGATATTTGACTATTTTTTCTTCCAGAAAGAGGCCAAAAAATAATTCTTATCTTTATATATAAATACTGTTCATTCAGTTTACATAACTTACCTTTGCGTATTAAAACACAAAATAATTGTCTACAATTAAAATCAAACACCATGACATCGCAATAATAGGTTGATACGAAACACTGAATGCAGTGCAATGTGTAGCATTCATATTCTTCTGACAAATATTTTCACAAGCAGCCTTTTTTGACACATGAGCCACACAATTTCACATGGGGATGCTGTCGGAGCAGTTACAAGTTTAGTAAAGCTAAGGATTCCGATAAACAATCAGAGGAGTTAGGGAAGCAGGATGGCATGTGTCCAGCACACTCCATGGAGTGCCTGTTGGTTGTTTGGCTGAGGCAAAAGCTCAAGAGCCGAGGGTTTGCAAAGCAGATTCAGCAGACAGGAGCCAGAAACGGTGGGTACTTTGGCGCATGCTTGGATCAGGTGACAGTACAGACTGAAAACTATGGCAGCTCACTGAAATGGTTACAGAAAGTAATGGCCCTGGATTCTAGGTGGAAGCAAGAAGGCAAGCATACAGAGCACTCAGTCACAAGCTTTTCTAGCAAATGTACCCAGTCCTTTGGACCAAGGGTTCTCTACAACTTGAAGCAGAAAGGTTTGCAGGAAATTCCACTGCTAATTATGTCCCCTTTGTGGGAAACCAAAAGCTGAACACTAAACTTACTGCATTAATGTTTCCAAATTGGGAGGACATTTATAACCAAGTGGAAGCAAAGCACACTGTTTCTATGGTTGAGGACTTGAGAAACAATGCTGTCAAAAGTACAGTGTTCTATAAAAATCGTGCCTCCTCAAGCCTCCTCCAACTGCAACTTTCCAAACAGATTTTATTCAGCAGTTTTACAACCGGCACTTCTGTACCTGGAATGTTCTTTGAGCTAACTCTATCCACCATCAAGTCACCCATCTCCCTTAGAATACAAGCTTGAGCTGCCCTATCCAGGGGACAATATCCTCTATATATCTTTCACCTAGACACTACCACTTTCTGATTCATAAGTTTTCCCAAGTTATCTGCTGGAGGTTCACTTGCACAGGTTCTTTCAAGATTTAGCCAGAAGCTGCATTTTGCTGGTCCATATAGATTTTTGAAACTGAAGACAGATTAAGAAGAATGGCCTCTTGATGACACTGTTCATACCCAAGAGCTGCTGTATCCTTAAAGCTGAATCCTTAGACAGCCTGAGGAAATTGCTCCAAAGTAGGGACTGTCTGATTCATTTCAACCAATTTTACATTGTATCATTTAGGAAATATTTACATGTATAACACAATACTCTCACAGGAGAAGGACAACGATCTGGGGAAAATTTTCACCATCTATAAATGAGTCATTGTTCTGTTGTTTCAAAAATGGCAATGGAGGTGAATATTCTTTCAAACTCAATCTCTGAATCTTTCACTAGGCAAAGCCATTATCCACACATTCAATATTCCCTTATTTTTACATCATCTTAATTAAAAACCTACTAACAGCTTATCAGAAAGATGTGTGGTATTTTTCTGTAGCTTTGGCTGGTTGGGTTTTTTAACAACCCAGACAGACACCTTTTAACAGACACCTTTGTTAGGTTTATAAGGAACCTTCTCTGGACCATGAAGTTTTATTTAATCCTTTCTGGTTATCCCATTAACATTGACATTATCAATTTCGTAAAACATTTAACAACTAAATAACTGTACTGAAACACAAATCCTCTGGTCTGTAAAGATTGCCACAAAATTCAGGTAGCAAATAATTATATCTACAGCAGATTAACCTAAAACTTTCAAAGCAGTTTCCAAGCCACTCCATCCTTGTTTAGAAATACTATTCCCCATATTCATCTTTAAGACT